TTCATGCGCTTTTAATTTGGCCATTAAGTTACTATAACTCTAGATGTACAATCCTTCCTTGTCTCATGACTTGCAAGAATAAGAAAAATGTTTAATTAGCATCTCTGATTTAAACCTGACTAGTAAAATTATATTTGTTACACTTTATTCATTATTAATCAGTTCAAACAGCTACAATGAATCAATTCAAAACTGATTCAGCAATTAATTTGCATCACCACTCAAAAACAAAACTGTTAACTTGGATTAATTTAGTGGAAAACATGCCTTTATTATTAAACTGGGGTATAATTTTTTTTATTCTTTACATTTGCAATTTGAATGTACTTTGAATATTTTTTAATCTACTTTGTTATAGTGTATGTTTGGTTAAAATTAAGGTTTCTCTGAGTGGGGAAAAATAATTAAGAAAAAATACAAAAATATTAAATTACATCAATAGATAAATATTGAATAATTACATCAAAAGGATGATAAACGGAGATAACATTTCAGATATCACCAAGTCCTAATGGCTGTAATGAAATATTATCCATTCATGGTATCACACAGCAACTGGCTAAAACATGAGAGTTTATGAAAGAATCATCCATCAGATGGGTTCGAATGAGGTCGTTCATGAAAAATGCGATGATGTTAAATCTAATGTTCAAATCATGTGACTTCAAAACCTTGAGCCACAGCTGAATTGTGACCCTCAGCACTGGGCTTCTCACAAAGAGAATTCACACTACATTCATGAAGTTGCAGCATTAAAATGAAAACAAAACACAGCAGAGCTGAGCTGAGCTTCATGTTGCTAACTGCTTGACGTAATTGCTACTCTATGTTTACAAGCTGCTCGAGGAAGTGACATCAAAGATAATCAGGCTCTGAACACTGTCAAAATAATATCAATCAACAAAACCTATGCAGAACAAAAAAAAAACTGACGATGGCTCTGACTCAGCACTGCAATGCTATAAGGTCAAGGAGAAATATCTGATACAAATCTCTTGTGGTTGTTTCTTAAGAGGATTTTTGGCTTGGGTCCCGTTAAACATTTTATCTCCATTAATTGCCAGTGTTATAGTTTGATATTCTAGGACATGGGACCAGTAATTGAGTATAAGCCATCTTATTTCACCCTACACAGCCTTCTTAAATGTCTACTGTAGAAAGCATTCAATATAAGATGCCTATTGCATAAATAATCATGTATAAAAATAATAATAACATTAAGGTCAATCATGTAATTCAATATTGGCCTGAATCTTTAGAGCAAAAGACCAGAAAAAAAATGAATATCAACAATTAGCCTGTCATATACATCTTTAAAGGCCTAGTTCACCAAAAAAGTGAATTATCCAATCTTCACTACAACCCAAAAGGACTTCCTTACTTCCATGAGGAACTCTGAAAACCTTTTCTTTTGCTGTAACTACATGGAAAACAACCACATGGACATTTAACTAAACTATGATTTTGTGTTCAACAAAAGAAAGTCATTAGTGGTCGACCGATATATCGGCCGATATTTGCCATTTTTCAAATATCGGCATTGGCCGATAAGTTTTTCTGTTTGGCCGATGCGTTTGAGGACTTTTATTTTGATGGCGCTGAGTGCCTCAGGCTCAGTGCCTGAGCACATAGTGCTCACATGCTCCTTGTTCACTGTCATCGTTCAGTTCTGTCTAATACGGATAGAAGTCAGTCTAGTAATCTGATAGAACTGTTAAACAAAGGAATTAAAATGTATACAAAAATAATTATAACGATTCTATTACTAATTATATATTATTAGTAATAGAAAGGCAAACATTATAATACTTTCTCGTTTGCCGTCAGCCTTCAGCACATACTCATTTACATAACTTGGGTCCCGTTAAACATTTTATCTCCATTAATTGCCAGTGTTATAGTTTGATATTCTAGGACATGGAACCAGTAATTAAGTATAAGCCATCTTATTTCACCCTACACAGCCTTCTTAAATGTCTACTGTAGAAAGCATTCAATATAAGATGCCTATTGCATAAATAATCATGTATAAAAATAATAATAACATTAAGGTCAATCATGTAATTCAATATTGGCCTGAATCTTTAGAGCAAAAGACCAGAAAAAAATGAATATCAACAATTAGCCTGTCATCTACATCTTTAAAGGCCTAGTTCACCAAAAAAGTGAATTATCCAATCTTCACTACAACCAAAAAGGACTTCCTTACTTCCATGAGGAACTCTGAAAACCTTTTCTTTTGCTGTAACTACATGGAAAACAACCACATGGACATTTAACTAAACTATGATTTTGTGTTCAACAAAAGAAAGTCATTAGTGGTCGACCGATGTATCGCCAAGGCCGATATATCGGCCGATATTTGCCATTTTTCAAATATCGGCATTGGCCGATAAGTTTTTCTGTTTGGCCGATGCGTTTGAGGACTTTTATTTTGATGGCGCTGAGTGCCTCAGGCTCAGTGCCTGAGCACATAGTGCTCACATTCTCCTTGTTCACTGTCATCGTTCAGTTCTGTCTAATACGGATAGAAGTCGGTCTAGTAATCTGATAGAACTGTTAAACAAAGGAATTAAAATGTATACAAAAATAATTATAACGATTGCTTTTATATTATTAGTAATAGAAAGGCAAACATTATAATACTTTTTCGTTTGCCGTCAGCATTCAGCACATACTCATTTACATCATTTAAACAAATCTTTGAATGGCTAATGAAAATTTAATTTCACAAACCTTGCAAACTTAGTCGAATCCAGTTGTGAGATCTTGTGAAGTGTGCATGTGACCTGCATGATCGCATGTTCTCTGCTTGACTTTCAGTCCGTGCAAATTGAATGCTTTAAACATAAATTCGTGATTTCAAATTACGCTGCACTTAACCACTGTCATATTCATGTCATTTTCACTCTGTGCTGTATGTATGATGTGTGTTGTAAGTGTTACCTTGGCTTTATTTGAAAAAATATGATTCCCAATGCACACAAACTTCCCAGAATACGGAGTGCTCTGTTGGTTACAGTTTACTTCCTTTTTAATTATAAAATTATAAAAAATATTTATTTGTGGAAAATACTTTGTCATCTATAGTATAAGTATGTGTATTTTACAAAATTATTTTTTAATCCATTTTCAAATGCTTTCAAATTTCTTAAATATTAATGAAAATAAATACAATTATATTGGCTTTCCAAGATATCGGCATCGGCTGTCAAAAAACCAGTATCAGTCGACCACTAAAAGTCATACAGTTTTGAAACAACATGATGATGAGTAAATGATGACTGAATTTTAATTTCTGGGTGAATGAATATTTAATCATCATCTAAAGATGTGGACACAAAGTGAAGTCTCTCATTGTGTTTGATCTTGAAACATGTCAACATGAAGGGCTGTAAATGTTCCAGTTGACCTCAAAAGCCT